TGGTGAAATGACGTTAACTCCTACCGTACAAACGGTGGGTGTTTGTGCATATTCGGCATACATTGTGGCACCCTTAACCATCACAAGTTAGTTACATTTTATCTTTGTAGATGAGGCCCTCTCTCTGCCTGCAGAGGTTTAAGAGGTGTGCAATCATGGCGTTTACCTTATTTAAATACATGAAGGGATGTCAAATAATATTTAAAATAAGACGAAACAAACTTTGACGGTAGAGTACATTACATTGAAATGTCAAAACTCGAGCCAAATCGACGTATTTTGTGCATATACATTGTGAACACAAACAAAGGCCGTCCGTCGTATCGATGGTGACAAAAGTCAAGATTTGTCGCATGCTTGGCATGCTGGTGTGAGACCAGCCCATTTCTCTTCCACAGATATTACAGATCACGGTGGGAAGGCGATGGGTGTTTGCAGGCACGTGACGTCACTCCCTCTTAATACGGAAAGCCTCCACCCTGGTCTCCTCGATTTGCTCCACACCCCTTGGCAGATTGCACTCCTCCAACGCGAAGGCGATCGGGAGCTCGGTCCTCCCATTTGTCCACGGGAATACCGAACGGTAGCTTTGAGATGTCACATTCTTAAGCTGTAGGCACTGTCCTCTGCGATGGTGTTTTCAATGTGACGGCTCTCCATAGAGGACAGATTCTTGGCAATTGTGTACCATTCGTTGGGAAAACATGCGCAGCTCATCTGAGCTGTGTGGTGGGAAGAACGGCTTCGACACTTGGGAGGTTCGCACGACTGAGTACGTTCACATTTGGTACTCGATATTCCATGGCATTTTGAGGATTTACCATTTTGAGGATTTGAAATGTCCTGATATGGCACTTGTGACGTGTGCATGTTTGAGTGGAATATGACAGCGATGTGAGCACAAATGCCCAATAAACTTTGCATTTCATGACTATTCCTATCCCATATTGTGACCACTCATTTTTGTAGTTTACCAAATGCGCTTGCTGCAGACAGTACGTGATCATTTATTTGCACATTTAAATTGTTATCAAATGTAACTGTGTCTCCCAAGGTAATTGAAATGCTCCACTAAAATCGAGTGGTTTGTAAAGCAGACATGTAATAGACCAGGTGGCAGCTTATACAAAAGCTCAGTTTTATGAATGTTGTCAAACAAAACAAGTTCGACGTAATATATACAAGCTAAAGCACATATACGTATCTTCAAAATGATGAACAATCTCTTTGTATCTGTTCAAGAGTTGAAAACAAGTGGAAAGTCATCTGGATGACATTTCTCATATGTATGTTGAACTTCTTTTTCACTTTTTTCTTCTTGGTTCTTTCGGTAAAGTCACGTAGAAGGGAAGTAATAAAATAATAAAAATAAAACATAATAAAATAATTCTCACGACGTTTCGGCCACAACGCAAGCAGCCGTCTTCAGGTGAATAATGAAACACTGCCAAGCTTGGAGCGTGTATATAAGCTGGGTTGGAGGTGGAAGAAGAGCACCTTGACAAAATAATTTGCATATCAAGAGGAATTTAGCATATTTATGGCAAATGCGTAGGAGGTGGGCGGGGGGGTTTCAAAGTCATATTATGCCCATGCATTATGCAGGATTATCAGTATCAAAGGGAGGGGGTAGGGGGTAGCATTAACAAAGGGAGGGAATGTTAATAGTATGTAGAAGCAACAAAACATGTCAATGGGAGAGCGGTGGCAGGAGACCCGCAGCGGAGCAAATAATACATTCCCTGTGGAGAACACAAGATACACAGTCAATGCCAGTGAGTGGACTGCGGTCTGAAAGTCACCGCAAACGTGAACAACAATCAGTTAAGATCCGAAATGGTTTATTACGTCCTTCCAATGATTGCTGAGCCAGAATCCATCTTCTCGGTTGAAATTGTCTCTGTGTTTGTATATGTGGATCGCCTCATGAACGAATCTCTCATGGTAGCCAGATGGCTTGCAGAGAACCTCTGTCTTGGAGAAGTCAATGTCATGTGAGCCCACTGAATTGTAACAGTGATCTGCCACGGCTGTCCTACTGTGTTTCAGGTCTGCTTTATGTTCACGGATGCGGTCCGAGACATGTCGTTTGGTTTCTCCAATGTAACTGCTACCACAGAGGCCAAGACAGAGGTTCTCTGCAAGCCATCTGGCTACCATGAGAGATTTGTTCATGAGGCGATCCACATATACAAACACAGAGACAATTTCAACCGAGAAGATGGATTCTGGCTCAGCAATCATTGGAAGGACGTAATAAACCATTTCAGATCTTAACTGATTGTTGTTGACGTTTACGGTGACTTTCAGACCGCAGTCCACTCACTGGCATTAACTGTATATCTTGTGTTCTCCACAGGGAATGTATTATTTGCTCCGCTGCGGGTCTCCTACCACCGCTCTCCCATTGACATGTTTCGCTGCTTCTACATACTATTAACATTCCCTCCCTTTGTTAATGCTACTCCCCTCCTTTTGATGCTGCTAATCCTCCCACCTCCTACGCATTTCCCATAAATATGCTAAATTCCTCTTGATATGCAAATTATTTTGTCAAGGCGCTCTTCTTCCACCTCCAACCCAGCTTATATATACGCTCCAAGCTTGGCAGTGTTTCATTCTTCACCTGAAGACGGCTGCTTGCGTTGTGGCCGAAACGTCGTGAGAATTATTTTATTATGTTTTATTTTTATTATTTTATTACTTCCCTTCTACGTGACTTTACCGAAAGAACCAAGAAGATGAATCCCTGCAGTCACGAAAGCTTTAAATCGAAATTTTTTTTCACTGTACGTAGCCAGCCATGCTAATCGGAGGTGCGGGGGAATGATAACACACTAAACACAAAAAGCAGTTCTAAAAAATTAGTTTCAAATCGAGATTTAAAAATGCATAGCTCCAGTGGCTTCCTAATTTCCAACTTGTGTACCTGTGGCAGTTGAGCAAAACACCTGTGGTGTTTCCCGTTTACTTGGCCTGACTAAAATACATGCCAATTGAAATGTTCATTTAAAATGTTTCTCAGACTGTTACGTTCACTTAATGTAGTTTTCTGCTCCAAATTGCCGTTGGCAATATTCAATCACCTTAAGAAAGGTCATTAGAAACAAGTGGGGTATCTATAAATGGGTTGCTCTGTAAATAGTGAAACGCTTATTCACGACATCTAAGACTCTGATTTAAAGCTTTCGTGACTGCAGGGATTCATCTTCTTGGTTCTTTCGGTAAAGTCACCTGAGGACGGCTGCTTGCGTTGTGGCCGAAACGTCGTGAGTATTTTATTTTATTATGTTTTATTTTTATTATTTTATTATTTCCCTTCTACGTGACTTTACCGAAAGAACCAAGAAGATGAATCCAAGACTCCCATTTAAAACAAGTATAAAATGATTACAATACTACTGTAATAAAATCTAAAAACAATGCAGCAATCTTAACTACACAACAAATCACGCCGGTGGGCTATTTGCAAAACAAACTGTGAAAAACGAACGAAAAAGAGCTAACAAATTGATTATAAAGTAATACGATAACAATCTCCAGACGTAGCCAACGCGATGTGTCGCGGATTACGGGAGGAAGTAGCCACTCCCGGAAAAGATCCGAAATCCGCTGTTTTTTTTGCAGGTTTCAGGATTACGGGAGGAGTTGTGAACCGCGAGTAATCCACGAATTTCATGGATGTGCAGGATTACTGGAGTACGGATATTATTGGAGTCCTGGTCTATCTGCGTAAAAGACAAAAACACAGTGAACCTCGCAAACGCACGGCAGCCGCCAGAACTGGACGGTGGGCAGCCAGAAAACTGCAGGGGCACAGCTCACCAAAAACAAAGATCCCCCGTGTAGCCATAACAGACTGTTGGGGCAAGTACTGTTAGTGAGCACCTATGAAGGCTGACACGGTACACGAGGGGGTGCATGGCCAACACCACGCCCGACCGCCTTTGTCCCACCAGTGGCGATGTTTACTCACCACACCAGGTACTCATTTGAGGCTGAGTCGACCTCAGGGAGGCCCAGGACCGGTTAAGATAATCGTCGCTGGTATTGGCCGTCAGCGGGAATCATACTCGGGTTGCCGGGTTCGTAGTGCAGTGTACAAACCACGACACCACCGCTCCCCACAGCTCACCAACCACGTAATCACCAGCGAAACGTGACGGTCCTCGAATTGTAAATGTTGTGAGTTTACTCTCCAACAGACACCGAGGGTGCTGAAGCACCCATCGCCTTCCCACCGTGATCTGTAATATCTGTGGAAGAGAAATTGGCTGGTCTCACACCAGCATGCCAAACATTGTTGTTGAGGTGACAAAAATTATTCATCAGAATCAGAACATTTATATTGGAGGAATCCGATGAGCTATCAAGCTCTTTTTCACAGATGTCCAGTCAGGGCAGGTTACATCAACAATAGATAATACCCCAAAAAAGATGGGAGTGCCAATTATAGGCAAACTAAACTAATAATTTGAAATAAATATACACAAATAAAAAATAAACTTACAAAAAATCTTACTTAGGTAAGATGGTGGCGTGTTTAACGACACATTCATATTTACGCGATTTAACCCAACAAAAACAAACTTTAATATGGATAAAATTGGTTGGGAAAGCCGACTCGTTACGTGTTAAAAGTGAGGGGCCACAGCTGACTTGAGACCACGTCGTGGCTTTGATTCGATGACTTTTGACCTCGCGGCTTCTGTACCCCTCTACCCCCGCCCCTACCCCCCCCCCCCAACAACCCCCTCCCCCTCTCTCCCACTTGCCCCATTCGCAGCTGCTGATTGGCGAACACTGGAGAGTGGCGGGGGGAGGCGTTCTAACCAATGGGCTGCGAGTGGGGCGTGGCCTCGCCGTTCTGGGGGAGGGGGCGTGCTCGAGGGCGTGGCTTACGTGCTTGGGGGAGGGGCTTGTGTTTCGCGGTGACGTCACCGAGCTGAGCCTCCTATAAAAACGGAGCGCAGCGCGATCGAGGCAGTGAGTTGAGAGGCGCCCACGTGTTTGGCGGTGTTTATACACCGCGGCGGAGCTTGGCTTTAAAGCTACCCCCCCGCCGCACCGAAGATAAAGTGATTCTCAGTATTATTATTTTATATATATATACCCCAACGACAAACTAAATCCATTCCTGGATGTCTCATTCGCAGTGAAAAGAAAATGTAGCTACATTCGTACCGTGCGATAATACATCCGAATCGCAACCCTATGGCTCAGGACACGTAAAGAAGCGGGGGGGCGGTGGGTTAGGTATTTAGCCGCCGTGCACGTAGACGCGACTGCACTGCTGCGCGAGGTTGTCGGGGGGGTGGTGGTGGTGGTGGTGGGGGGAAACGTTGCGGCTGAGCGAGCATGGTGCTGCACGCCTCTGGGCTCCCAAGCAGCGCTGACGACTGCCTGTCCGCCGCCGAGATGAGCGACTCGGAGGGGAGCGACCTGGAGCCGGGCTCCTGCATGCCGCCGTCCCCGGCTCGCGTCGCCGACACGGCCGGCGCTGTTGGCTCGGCGCTGGGTGGTGGTGGTGCCGCCTCGGGCAGCGGCAACGGCGGCCAGCCGGACTGGTGCAAGACGGCGAACGGGCACATCAAGCGGCCCATGAACGCCTTCATGGTGTGGTCCCAGATCGAGCGGCGCAAGATCATGATGGAGTCGCCGGACGTGCACAACGCGGAGATCTCCAAGCGGCTGGGCCGCCGCTGGAAGCAGCTCAAGGACTGCGAGAAGGTCCCCTTCATGCGGGAGGCGGAACGCCTGCGCCTCAAGCACATGGCCGACTATCCGGACTATAAGTACCGGCCCCGCAAGAAAGCCAAGACTCCCGGCGGAGGGGGAGGAGGAGGAGCGGCGGGAGGCTGCGCTGCTGCTGCTGCTGCTGCCGGGGGCGGCGCGGGGCCCGTGTCCCCGCAGGAGAAGCCGCTCAAATCGAGCAAGAAGGGCGAGCCGGCAAAGCGGCAGCAGCAGCAGCAGCGGCGGCTCCGGTGGCAAATCCAAAGCGCAGAAGCTGCCGCCTCACCTGCGGGCACCCTCGGGCGGCCGTGGTCTCAAGACGGTGACCACCAAGACGGTGCGGGACCTGCTGGCGCCTCCACAAGCCCGGCACCACCACCATCATCACAATCATCATCATCAGCAGCTCGGCAACCATCACCAGCACTCGTCCAGTCAGCCCACGTCCCCCGCCGCGGTGCCGCCCAGCCCGACGCTGAGCAGCGGATCTGCGGAGGGCCGCGAGTCCGCGAGCTTCTACGAGGACATCTCGGGCGTGCGAGTGACGACCATCAAGATCGAGCCCGGCTCCGTGTCGCCGTCCGTGGTGCCCTCCGTCTCGGCGCCGATGGCCACGATGCTTTCGTCCGGAGGAGCCGGAGGAGCAGCGGGAGGGATGGACGACTCGATCCTGGACTTTGCGCTGAGCGCGTCCGAGCGGGGCGAGCTGCAGCTGCAGACGCTGGGCAGTATCGGCCTCTCCACGCTCGACCGAGACATCGACTCGCTAAGTGACGGCAGTTCTGCGTCTCACTTTGATTTTCCAGACTATTGCACCCCGGAGGTGAGCGAGCTCATCTCTGGTGACTGGTTCGAATCGAGCATCACCAACATGGTCTTCACGTACTGACCGCCCCCCCCTCTCTCTCTTACCCCCTAAGCGAGCAAGCGAGAGGGCCACCATGGACTTGCCGGTCACTTCTTGTGGCATGCGCTCGCCAAGGATGAGTTTTGTGGAGGGGAGAGGGTGGGAGATGATCGCGTGGATCATCTCGGAAGAGCGAGTGAGTGTGCGAGCCAAGACGAGGCTCGCTCACTTCAAAGTATTTGAGACTTAAATTTTTTTTTGTTTTTTTTATACGAATATAAATTGAGTTGACTGATTTCAAAACCCAGCTTTACCAGCATTGTGCATTGGTCGCGCTGACTTTCTCCGGCCCCCAATCTTTTTTTTTTCCGATGGGAGATGCAGAGAGCGCGAGTGAGAGAGAGCTGTCACTCGTTAAAGGAGTCTGGAAGATGACCCACCAAGGGAATCTATCCAAAGCCGCGGTTTCCTCTGCCACACTCGGGAGGTTTAAAGTCCACGGTTGGAATCCTCTACCTGCCTTTTTGGACACACCAGGAGCTTCTTCAGCAAGTCCGCATGCTACCAATATTGATACCGCAATAGCCGATAAGTCCAAAATAACGCTTGGTTAACCATGAGTCTGTCTACCGAGTCCGTGAAAAGTGTATTTATACTGTATTTACATTGTAGCTGGACTGCATTGACATTAACTTAACGACGGGGGGGCGGGGGGAGGGTTTTTATAGGTGTGTTTAGATTGCCTTGTGTTAAAAAACAGACCGTGCTCGATGATGATTTAGTTTCATTAGTTTGCGGATAAGGCGAATAAGGTTGTGAGGATGATGATGATGGCAGCGTGCAAAACGCCGCGGCGAGGAGGGATTAGGATGGCGACTCGAGACATATTTGAGGATGAGTGGGGGGAGAATGCACGGCATATATGCTTGTAGATAATTATATCCATTGTGCGGTTGAGAGACGGGTTTTATCTTTAGACCCATGGTCGGGGTGTCGGAGTGGGAGGGATGGATTTAGGGAGGAGGGTTTGGGTTTTAGTAGGCGCGTTTTTTTCGTACAGATGTCTTCTCTCTGCGTTGCCATCCAAGACGTGCACCACTAGGTGGCCCTATCTCTAAACCGACAGAAACTCACTCCCCAACACGTGCATTTGTGGTTACAATTGAGAATTACTCCGTCCGTGCGTGCGTCCATTCGCTCACTGACTTGATTTTTGTTGTTACTGTTGCTTGTTTTAAGTGTACGGTTGAGAGAGGAGGGGGGGGAGGTATTTTGGTTGGAGGTTTTTTTTTTCTTCTATGGATTTAAATGTACATATATAAACAATATAACAGCACCTGCCTGTCGGAAACACATTTGGAACAACAAATGACCACGTCCACGTAAAAGGGCTTGATTCTATTTGCAGTACAGAGTTTTTTCTTATACGTCATTTCGATCGAAAACTTTGTACAAAGATTTATTTTCTCTATGTATTTTTGTATAAAAAAAGAGTAAAACAAAAATCGTATTCAGAACTCGCGCCCTTTCTTTTTCCTTTTCGATGTTTTTGAGGATTGTCTCATAGGCGCGTGTTTACATTTTTGCCAATACTCGGCATGCGTGCTAATGGTAAAGCAATGCTCCATCTCACCACGCATATAAACTGTATCGCTTAATGTGTTGTTATTTAAAGGGTTACACGGTGACGATGTATTTATGGTTATGAAGATTACAATCTAGTTGAGAAAAAAAACGTGAAATCGTGGCTAGCGGTAGTAAAAAAAACGAGTTTGTGAAATGTACGAGTTTAGACGACGATAGTGCCGTTTTTTTCTTGTTCTTGACATGCTTATCGGTGGTGTACGGTTGACATTGCCATTTGTGTATCTTTTTTGATACTTAAAACTCACACAAGCGCATACGGTTCATAATAAATGATCTCACCAGCTGTTTCTGTTACCAGCCTGTGCAATATACGCCCGATTTTGCGAGCCTTGTAAGCGAGCAGAACGCCTGTGTGTACATTATACAGCGTGTTAGAGACGGCGTCAGCTGGATCTGAAACATGAGCCCTGTAAAAGGTGAGCACTTGCGTTCACGATTTTGAGTGCATTGAGCCTCTCTCCGCCTCAAGGACTTTTGATCAATTAAAATTGAAAAACTTTGCATAACAGACTGGTAACGCGCGTCTCTGTTCGCTACCCTGAGTGTCTCGTGGACTTTTATATGCCCCCCCCGGCCCCCCCCCCCCACTACTGCGCGGCTTTAAAAAGGTTGGGGAAAAAAACCTTTTTCAGTTGCTTTTATCTTGCGCCGCCTTTATACGAGGCTATGACAGTGAACAATGCTGCATCAATGAGATAAACGTGGACTTATATTTCAAACGCTGAATTTTAAATGTCTCGCAAGAAACCTTCATCAATTCGAGACCTCTATTTTATAACGTGGAAGCGTTGCCTCTGCACTCGGCCTCCTGCCGATAATGTATCTGTTTGCCGTCGCATTTTTTTAATGTAAATAAAATTACGGTAATGTAATATTTCACGTGAACGCTCACAGGACGAAACACCGGAATGTAGGTCACTTGGCAAAAAAACAACTCGCCGCTCTTACACTTATGGCTCGAGTTCAAATCTTGGGCATCATCGATTCAAATCGAAATGAATCATTCTTACTGGAAAAATCGGTACCGTCTTGTGGTCATTACTCGATGGGAAGTCTGCAGTGGATTGGCTAAGGTCACCATCAAACGGCAAGGTCTTCAACCCGATGTGTGGGCAGTTCTTACTCCGAACCGTTAATTGTACGGGTGAGTCAAATTACCAACAAATGAGAATGTAATTGACAATGTACAGTATATAATTTACATTGGTGCAATCTATGCAGAGGTCCACAGGAGTGGGATTGACCTGTTTTACATAGAAAAATGCATGTTTCATGAACTATACTGTGCAGTAAATTTATTAAAACGTGCCATTTTAATCTTTAAAAACGAACCAGCATCTCGATATGTAATTTTATCAATATTTAAAGCCACCGAATAAACAAAAAAACGTGTCCTCCATGCATTGAATGTGCTGTCACAAGGCATCGGTACACCAATGGGTTGTTCAGTGTTCATCATTGGCCATGTTCAACCCACTGCTGAATGAAGGTCCCCTCTCCAAGCCGTCTCCATCTCAAAGTCCTCCATCTAGCTCTTGCAAACGAGCTGTTTTCATCGCTCCGTCTCCATGGTTGGCGTCCTCTCGAGCGGGCTCTTTCTCCTTGTCCTTGAATGAAGCTACCGGCCCATCACCCAACCCTACTCCTATTCGGGACGATTCCTTCCCGAGCACCACTTAAGTCGATGTATCTAACCTTTGCATACATTCCATAATCCATGCATTTACAAGCGTGCACCTCCTCATACGTCTTTGCTCACAACATCTCAGGTTTGATTCCCTTATATTTGTCCACGTTTCTAATCTGTGTCATCGCAGGTCATTAATTAAACATTGACCTATATTGCTCCATACCGTTATGTTTTATATACATCGCTTTTAGCGTTAACCAAGGCTCTAGTATCAAGTGACCATGCAATGGCATTGCAACCCAGCAGGATTTATTTAACAAGCCTGGCTCTCCTTGTGTGTGTAGAACTTATTTCGCACCGTTCATAGGCAACTGGTTTTGTTAAACGTTGCTGGATAACATTGGTACGCCAAGCCCACATACAACGATGGCCTAAGTTATAACTTTATGGGCAGATTAACAAAAAACCGCGGTCTATAATAACAAAACAAGCGTGCATAACGCATAGATTGTGTAACATGCATTTGGGTGATTGCGAATGATATTTTAAGGAGCAATGACTTGCGCCAGAAGGCAGTGCTTCGGCAGTGAAGAGACAACGGGACTGATAGCGGCTGTGCCCGGCAGGACCCACCTCGACCGGCACGCCGAGGTTTAGGTCCCGTTAGCGCCGGCCGACAGGCCGACCTAAAAAAATCTGACAAAAACCTCTTTGATCAATTTGGGCTGTTGTTCAATTGCTCCCCGCTTTTTATGGGCAGACGCGGACTGAGCCAATCCATAAACGCTTTCAAACGTAACCCAAGTTATAAAGCGTTTACATGACACAACCTGCAACAACCGTGCACAGGTCACAATTCACAACGCTTGAGTATTGTTCACAAACTACCATTCAACTCGTGCACAGTCGGGGAGCCCTCCCCAAACGCATATATCTCTCTTTCAAAAGCAACCTGGCCACAAATGAAAGCTCGGATAAGTGGAGGGGAAAACCCGGAGAACTATCCACACGCCCACGGAGAGAGACATGCAGACTCCCAAATATACAGCAAGTGTTTGGGTTGGGATCGAACCCACGACTTCCGCTATACCAGGCGAGGTAGTAAACATCTCGCCACCGTGGCACACCATCCCCGGAGGCTGGGCTGCGGTATCTCATCCTCGCGTTCCCACACCCCCGGATGTTGGTGGGGGGGGGCACGGGGTGGGTGGGGGCGGAAAATATTCCATGCGAACGAGTCCCTGGTGATCTCTACACCCATAAGGGGCCGTCCATAAATGACGTCACGCGATTTTGGACGATTTTTTTACCCTCCCCCCCCCTCGTCACACGGCGTCACAAAAAGTCAGACCCCCCCCCTCAAATATGACGTCGCAAAGCTCTGCCCCCCCCCAAAAAAAAAACATTTCCATTTTGAAAATAAAACATGCTTCAAATCGCTTTAAACTATTGCGTATTTAATGTGGCGCTGCACTCTGATGTTGTAGGAGTGTTGTTATAACAATTAGTGTTGTTATAACAATTCTATATTTATTTAAAGTTGCGCATTTTGATGTGACGTCACATTTCTCACCCCCCCCCCCGTCACACATCGTCACAAATGTCTGACCCCCCCTAGGTGCGTGACGTCATTTATGGACGGCCCCTAACGTCTTGGGGGGGGGTTTGTTTCGACCATACTTCACCACGCTTGCGAGTGTGGTTTGGTCAAGTGGATGGTATCCCTGGATCGGTTCAGATTTCGCACGCCACTGAATGTTAGCCGTGGCCGAGACTCGAACTCAGATGGCCGGTTCAGTGCGCCAATGGAGATTGCGCCAACGCTCTCCGTACAACCCGCAGGCCAGCAGTGATGCGATGTAAATCTGCGTCCACAGTAGTTTTGTGTATTATTAAACCGCGCGTTCACTCACGCTTCTCCCACCCCTACCCTCCAACGCGGTGCCGTCAGCCTGAAACATTGTTTCCACCTTCGAAGAACCACGACATTGAAGACGCCATTAACTGGACGGATTGGCTTTCCAAGAAATGTAATATGGAATATATATTTTAAGAAATGGCACGGTGCCAAATTCCAATTTCATCAACATGCAATCTTGAGGTTTACGTGCAGAATGGCATTGCTAAGTCTGTGTGTACACTGTAAAAAATATATATGTTGCTACCTAGGCCAGATGGTATAACGATTTATGTATAAAATAAGGCACTCTATTTTCGTTAAACCATTTCAGTCTCATTATGCATATATGCACAACAGACTTGTTCTTGCCAGCCAGCCAAAGCAGGGGACACACCCGAGACTGCGTAGACCAAGGAGAGATGGCGCGGCACACAATGGCCTACTTTTCCGAAGAACGCCAAGGGACATTTAAACGTCCAAACTGCGACTGAGGCAGCCGGTGTGTATTAACCAGGGCTGCCATTGCAAGCGAACCGTAAATCTTTGCGACGCTTACTTCCAGATGCGACTCAGCTTTTTTTCCAACCAAAACTTTTATTTTATTTTACCAGGTAAGGCCCACTTTTTCAGAAGCGACCTGGCCACAAATGATAGCTCAACGATGTGACTTATCACGTGGCAATTTATAGCAGCCAAATACTCTGAACGCATGTTGATTCTAAATGTTGGGGGGGGGGGGAACCCCGGAGGACCCAGAGAAAAATCCACACCAACACGGGGAGAGAGACATGCAAACAAAACATTTACAGCAGGCGTCAGGGTCGGGATCGGGATCGGGATCGAACCCACGACCTCCTGTATACCAGGCGAGGTAGTAAACATCTCGCCACCGCGGTGTGTGATCAGTGGGGGTTGCTGGTGCTGGCGTTGGACTGGCTCCGTGGACGGCAGCAGCTGCCACTGCCCACGCATTACGTGTATGCAGGCGAGCCCTGGCTGGCCGGCTGTGTATACGTTTACGAATGTTTAGGAGCTCAATTCCGAAGCGAGACTGCGGGAGCAATTTCCGGCTGGCCCTTCGCTTTTTTTCTCTCTTTCCCAAGTGAAAGGAATTCCCTAGTGTCGTGCGTTTCACTGCCACTCGCTCACTTATCTGCATGCACCACAATGGGAGTGACCCCACCGAGCCATTGTGGTGTGTGTGTGTATATATATACACCCGTTAGCTTTTCTTATCCGAAAATAATGGTGGAGAGAGGAGGTGGGGGGGGGGTGTTACTTTGGGTGAGGGGCAGTGGGTAAAATTACATTTGCGTTTAAATAGCCCTCCTTTTCTTCAGTAAAAAAAAACATGCATGCCCATTGTGGTGGTAAGGACTCTGAGTAGGCAGCAAAAAAAATTAATTGGCAGTTTGGAAACACTATAGAATCCCCCTTCGACATCAGCGGCTGCACCCTTTGAACAATTGCGGCTTATATTCAAAACTCAAACGATGCAATTGTAGGAACGGTAACGTTTGATATCGCGCGTCACGGATCGACTTGTTTACCATGGAAATCACTCCCGCTTCGTGCAGCTTTTTTGTTCTTTTTGCAGGAGGGTTCCTGCGTACGCTTGCTTTGCCAATCCCCGTTAATGATTGCCACGTGGGAGGAAGCCGTTACGACTGGAGGAACCCCACCACGTCCAACTGATAACACTTGAAGCTTCGCACAGATATAGTCAAGACTCCACTGCTATACTGAGATTCTAT